GCTGTAGTAACACAATATTATCAATAAAATTACCAAGAATGGTTTTTGCTTATAAAAAAAAAAAAAAAAAAAAAAAAGAAAAAAAAACTTGCAAAGATTTTAATGAGTTTAAGTCTTATAAAGTATTTTCTCGTATTAAAAATAAATATATAAAAATTATATTTGTTTATTTTTTTTTTGTTTTATATTTTATTTTTATCAGATATTATCAATGTATTTTTGATATTTTATTTATTTTGTTTTTATTTTTTATACTAAACCAAAATAAGATAAATATTGTATGTTTACTTATATAATAAAAAATTATTTAAATAAGTAAATCGATAAAAAAAATAAAAAATAAAAAAAATAGAATATCTTATGAGAAATTGTCCAGATCCTAAAAAACATCCAACAAAATGATTATTTTATATACTTTTAATTTTATATATACTTTTTTTATGAATTTTGTTTATTTACTAATGGATTTGTTATTTTGCTAATTTATATAATGACTATATTTTTATGATAATAACTATTGTACGTTTTTTTTTAATTTGAATTAATTTTTTTTTTTTAATATTATTAATTTAACTTTTTGTTTTAGACTTCTATTTCTTTTTTACAATCTGTTTTAAAAGTAAGTATTTAATTATTGATTTATTATTATTATTTTTATTAATTTACTTATTTTTTTATTTATAGTTTATTATTACAACAATTTATATATATATAGTAGTTAATTTAATAGCTTTTTGGCTTGGTCGTTTGGATTATGTTCAAATGATATATCATGTTGTATTTCAGGTTATTTGTAGAGATTTTTTAAAAATAAAATATTTTAAATCATTTTAAATAGAAGCAAATTCAGATTCGTATGATAGTAGTACAAATGAAGAAATTTTTGTATGTTTAAATAAACTTGAAAAAGAAATAGCTATATTATTTGATATTAATCAGAAAAAAATTATTAAAAAATCTGAAAAAATATTTAAAATTATCAATAAACAACTTATTCAAAATGAAAAAAAATTGGTTTTTTATGAGAAGAAATTTATGATCTATAAGGACAAGTAAATTTTTATAAAAATTGTTTATACAAAGAATTAATAGAAACAATAAGTTCTTTTTTCAATAAATTACTTGAAGATTTATTTGATTATTTTTTAAATATTAGTATTATACAGAATATATTAGATAAAATTAAAAATTTTATTCCTCAACCATTTTTTAATATGATATTTGAATATAGTATAGATTATATTCACCCCAAAAAATGGGTTTTTGTGAAAAAATTTTTTAGAGAATTATTTTTACCTGTAAGTTTTATTCCAATATTTATTTTTAAATTACCAATTATTAGAACATTTAGTGATCTTTTTGTAGTATTTAGTATAACTTTTGGTCATCAATATTTAGTTTTAATCGTAAAAGAATATTAATTTACAACTTTAATTATTATTTTATTAAAAATAAAAGTCAAATGATTTATACATATTTTTAATAGATTCATTTTCTATATCATCAATATCAATATTTCTATTTACTAATACTTCAACTATTAATTCTAAAAAATCTCTTTTTTCTTTTTCAGTTTCATAATATCCCATCATTTCTGATAATGTACTTTGAATAGTATCAATATTTTTTTGAGTGATACTAAGTTTATCAAATAATGATTCTTTATATTTACCAATTATCAATTCTATATTCTGAATATTATCAAGTTGTTCTTCTGGTATCCAAAGTGGATTCTATAGATTAAATTCTTTTCTTCTATATACAAAAGAATATTCTTTTAAGTATTTATACATTTTATCTTTTTTAAGTCTATATGTTGAAATATTTGTTTTTTTTCTTGGTTCTTCAAATAGATAGTTAATTAATTCTTTTCTTAGAGTAGTAGTTTCTTTGATTCTTTTTTTAATATATTTATTTTCTAAAAGAAATTTTTATCTTTTCCAAGAACCTATGTATAATATAATGCATCTAATAAAGATTTTTTATTTTTGCTATTATTATAACTTTTCTTAATTATTTCTGATACTGCTTTAATTTTTAATTTTGAAAATCTTTTTAAGCTTTCATTGTCTAGTGTTTTTCTATATTGATTGATAATATTCAATATCTGTGAGTCTGAAATACCATTAATATTTCTTTTTTGATCTGCTTTACTAGGTTCTCTAATTATAGAATTTTCTATTAGTGTTAATAGTCTTTTTGGTATTTTAGTTTTAGATTGATCTTGATTTTGTAATGAATTGATTCTATCAATTCTAATCTGATTTAATTTCTCTTTAGTTTTATCTGCTGAGAGAAAATTTTCATCTAAAGATTCTGTAATCACTTTTTTCTAATTTTCCAATTTTGTTAAGTCAGTTTCAATTTCTATCATTGATTTAGATTATTTGGTCGTTAAAATTAATACTTGCAGTAGGAGCTATCTTCGATATTGTGTTTGTTGCAAGTACTGATTTATTTGG